CAACACATTTGCGGTGGTAAACATGATTTGAGCAAGCCCTGAAATCGGAGCGATGAGTGTTGGTGTGTTGCACTGGCGCACGTCTCCTTGATAGACTAGGGCATAGTTCATCCGTAGAGCATTGGCTTCTTCAACGCACTGTGCCACTGCAACTGTTGTGTTGAGTTGGGGAACGCCTTGTTTTACTTAGCGAATACTGTTGAAACACTTGCATAGTAGATTTTTGTTTCTGGATAGCTGACATGTCAGGTATTGTTGATGTACACTTTTATCCTCGCAAATAAGCCTATTACAGTGGTTGCGGTGAGCCATGTAGTCGCTCCAGTTTTGGCACTAGGACGGGCTCTGTGAGCATGCCAAGCCGTATTCCTTAATAACTTGTGTAATCAAGTCCTCTTTCTAATGAACTAGGCAGACTTGGTGGAACAAACCCACTGTTTCTGAAGCAGTTATAAGGTTGCTGGGACTACCAACAAACTGAATCTGGGCGCTCTCAGCGAAGCTGCCTATCAAAAAGTCCCGATCGGTTATCGCAATCAGATTCATCAAGATGTTGTAGTGTGTGATGATGCGCCTTGGTTCAGTATGTTCCCCCGGTTATTCAGCGTTACGTGCTTGTAAACTTTGTTAATATAATCAAAGTCGTCCGCATCTTCCGTACGCCGGTCATCATCATCGACATCAACAACAGCAGTACATCAGCCATTTGAACTGATGCTTCGCTGCCATACAACCGTTATGACCTATGAAATAAAGAATAATAAGAGGGAGAGAAGGGGGAATTATCAGAAAACCTGAATGCCCTAAGAAAACATTCACGGTCGAGGTGCATACACCTTGTGTTAACAGCATACCGTCACAAACAGCTGGCTATTGTGCAAAGATAAAGCGATATTGGCGAGATAGCTTCCTTGCGGCTTTCACTGCTCCGCATCATAATCAGCCATTACCCCGCAGATAACTCAGCCACAAACACACTTTAAAGAGGCAATCCGATTAGGAGACGCGCCACTGGTGTCTACTGCGAGCCATGTCCTGTAAAGTCTCGAACCAAGCACAAGGTGAGTCTAGTGAACTGCAGGCCGGAAGGCGAGACGGGCTGACGGCACCCAGTTTGGTCGCCAAGTCAACTTCTGTCCACCTCGAGCCTTGCGCCACCCTACAGCTGGTAGACTAAACAAGGCTCTCCTAGGTAAGCGATGATCGGACATACGTAGCACGTGCCCGAGCCAACGCAACTTATTCGGTGCTATCTGTTGTTCTGGGCAGCTAGCATGAGTATCACTACCTAATACTCGTCTACGCACCTCATCGTTGCGGACACGCTGGTGCCATCCGACACCAGCAATGCTTCACAGGCAACGATGAACAAAGATTTGAAGGCGTCTCAAGTCTTCAGACCGAAGGGGCCAGGTCTCACTTCCATATAGCAGAACGGCCCTCACTGTGGTCTTGTATACACGGTCTTTCAGACGGAGGAAAACTCCCTTCTATCGCCAAAGATGCCGCAGGTTCAAGAAGACAGCTCTGGCCTTTGCAATGCGTGAGCTGACTTCAGTTACTATGCGCCCATCGTTGCTGATACAGCTGCCAAGGTAAGTGAATTGATCAACCACCTCGAGCTCCTCGTTAGCAAGCGTCAAGGGGTCATAAAGTGGCTGATGGTCTTGCAGCAACACTTTTCACTTTGAAGGAGCGAAGTGTATATCCAATAATGGGACCACTCTAGACAGGCTATTCAGGGTTGATTGTGCCACCGCAACTTCATCGAAAAGCAAGACGTTATTGTCCGCATAATCTAGATCGACTAAGCTTTCACCATGCAACAGTTCAACGCCTACATCGTGAGATTCCGCAAGGGAACACTCCATGCTAGAATCCACGACGAAATTGAACAAAAACGGGGAAATCGGTTGACTATGACGAACGCCACTTGTGGTCGGAAAGCTATCCGATAGGCCACCGTAAACCTTGACGCGGCCTGAAGTGTTCGAATATAGAGCACGAAGAATGTTCACGTATTTCGTGGGAACACCATTCAGCGCAAGTATTTCTAACAGAATCGATGGATCGACTGAATCAAACGCACTCTTGAAATCGAGGAACACGGCTATTGTCGGTCTGCGGTATGCGTTTCGCTGCTCTACCACCTGCCGCAGAGTAAATATATGATCTATACAGCTACGCCTGTCCTGTTCTTCCCTAATCCGAGATTCCCGTTCCACAGTGATGCGACGTACGAGAATCGTGGCCAGTAATTTTGTCACAACTGGCGTTAGTATAGTACCCCTGTGGTTAGAACAGTCTGTGCGACTGCCCTTCTTGTATATTGTCACTATAATCGATTCGCTCCAATCAGCCGGAACACTCTTCCTTCCAGATACATTCGAATGGGGTGGTCAACGCTTTGCAGAGGACCCAACCCCCATCCTTAAATAGTGTAGGTGGGAGGGAATCCGGGCCAGCGGCACGGAAACGATTGAGGGCTGTGATTGCGTTTCGGACCTCGGCCTCCGACGGAGGCTCTACACTAATCGTCCATGACTCGTCCTGCAAACCCATGGAGATATATATATATATATTTATATACATAAAATGTAGGTTGAATGAAAACTTCTGAGCTTCAGAAATACAAACGAGTACAGAGTGTTCGATGCCTTTATTTTTTCAGCATAATTACCCTCAAGCGCAACACACTTGCTCCAGCCGTACCGAAATGCTTTTATCTCGTGAAAAAGAACTCTTTAGATTGCGACTCTAAAAACGCTTCCACGACTTCAATGGCGCCAACAAAAGATTTTTCAATTTTTGGAAATGGGTAGAAGTCAGTGGGGGTTAATAGGATTAATAGGGTGGGTGAGGAAGATGCTGGAAACCGAAATCACGGATTTTTTCTCTGCATTGAGAAAGGTATAAGCTGGAGCATTGTCGTTGTGAAAAATGACTCATCTCGTCAGCATTTCTGGCATCCTTTCTCAAATATTTTTCTCTGAGACTTTTCAGAAACTCACAGTAATCCTTTCCGGTGATTGTATGGCTTCTTTTAAGGAAATCATCACCGCACCTCTGGAATCCCAACAGCAGATGCCATCACCTTGCCCGCTGATGGTGTAACCTTAGCCTTCTTTGACCTTGTAGATGATGCACGCTTCCACTGCTTTGATTGTTCTTTTCCTTCTGGCTGAACGTGGTGAACCCAATACTCATCCATATTGATGAGTCGTGCTAGACAATCATCGGCATCTGCGTCATATAGTGCCAAATTTTTCTTTGACATCACATCTCGAATGCGCTTCTGCTCAGGAATCAGAAGACGTGGCACTCATCAAGTAGAAACTTTTGAGTAGTCTAACTCCGTCAGGATGTTATTTGCATCTCTTCTAGGAGATGCCCAACATCTCTGCTACCTGACGCGTTGTTAATTGGCGATATTGCATGATCATCTCCACCACTAGGTCAAGATTTTCTTCGGTGGTAGCAATTGATTCTCTCTCACCTGGGCTCATCTTCAGTACTCTCCCTGCTGCGCTTCAACTTTTGCATCCAGCGTTTAACTGTAGCATATGAAGAGGAATTGTCATGCAATGTATCAAGCATGTTTTGGTGCATTTCGGATGGTGACACTTCTTTGAGATAGAAATATTTGATCACTGCGCGATGCTGTAATTTCTCTATTTTCATGAAATTGTAGGCCCTATTTACTTCACATATCTGCTCAACGAAAGTAAGAGGTGGAATTATGAATTTATATAGTATGAATCAGGAAAAATGGCAGCTTCTAAAAACGTCATTTTGTTCGTCTGACTATCTGGCTTCATTGCCAGGAGTGTGCCCTATGCTGAGGCTGATGTTGCATTCTTGATGCTTCTTCACCGCAGTTGGGCCAAACCAACTTACACTTAAACTAGGTCTTTTTAAGCTAGATTGATTTCATTCCACTTTATTTGGTTTGTTCTGCCTACCTGAATAATGTTCTATTAACTGGCCACTTTGCTTACATTAATTACGCTTATCTACGGTAACTTTGTTGCCGTTTTGTAGCATTTTTAACTAACTTCGTGGACAATTTTTTCCCTCATCACGGGATTCGTTGTGCTAACAATTACTCATCATGCTTATTTTAGTTTAGAGTTATGCCACCGTTATCTGTACTGCATTAATTGGATTTGGTTTTATTTCATACTTGTCGTTCCCAGGGTAAGATTGGCTGTTCTTGATATCCCCGGTGTGGCTTCGCATGATGTGCATGTTGACAAGGTGCACTACCTGTCTATTACCCACTACCTCATCCATACTGGCTCCAGGAGACAGTTGGTCGTTGCTGGAGGGGACGGGTGCACGGTCCTTGTGGCCGTGCTAGGCTCAAAGAGTGGTTCCATGCACTCAGTGTGGAGCGGACTACGGTCCAGCCACCGCCTTGTGTGCGCTTGATTCCCAAATACAGCATGCTTGTGTTTGCCTGTGAAGGAGTGTGGGCCGGCTCCGTTGATGAAACGTGGCTCCCATCCACATGCCTCCCGGTCTTATTCCTTCGGGTTTACACTGGATATGGGTGTGTGGTTGGAGCTGTGGGTGGTGCAGCGCAAGCCATCCATGGTCCCTCTGTAGGCGCAGGCGTCCTGTGGCTGGCCACAGTGACAGCAAATCCGAGACCGGATGCCGCCAACCATATATACGGAGTGAACACGATTATCTCTTTTCTCCTCCACTGCAGCCAGCTGTCCAAGATCGCGCGACGTTCACCGTGTGTGAGCCACTTTATCCTGAATGTCCGTTTATTGCGTTTAGGACATACATTCAATCCACTCTTATCCCTTTCATCACTTTGGTAGTACTGCCCCGACTGTAGTATATTAGGAATGCACAGGTGCGACCTGCTGTTGACATATGCCACGTGTGCTTAGGCGTTGTGAAGCTTCTTTTCCAGCCTTCATCACCACCTCTCATCTGGGCGGGGACTTGTTGCCCGTAACGTCCATGTTTTGCTCCTTAATTTCCAGTGACCTCCTACCGCGGACATATGATGGAGTATTTGATTAATTGCTCGATGGAAGGATTTGATGGGTAAGTTTCCCAATCATTTTTATTGGTTGTCCTCGGCGTGGGTCCTCGTTTCGTTGCTATATATATATATATATATATATATATATATATATATCATTGCTTTAAATTGAACCTTTTGCAAAACCCTTTGGACGTTTCGCATAACAATATGAACATCTTGCGTACCACTTTGCATACATTACATTTTAAGCAGAAAATAAGCATGTTGCTAGCAACCTATGAAGACTAAAGTGACTAGACGATGTTCAGACTACTTTGAAATCGTGCCACAATCGTGCTACAGTGGGTGTCACTACAAACCCTTCTCTTGATCGCGAACCTCCACCGAAGGCTGTGACTGAGTATCCCCATCGGCCTTCGCGTAATTTGTGTGCTTCTGTCTTTACACATGGACCTGTGTAGTTGTGCGAATATTGGAAAGTCAGACTCCCGAATCACGTAGTTTCTTGTGACTTAATCAAGTGTTACTTAGCTTTAGAGGATCATTGTGATGTACGCTCTTTGTGAACGGATTGCGATCCGCAATCACAGTGTGGACCGCAATTCTCACTGAAGTCAGCCTTGGCCAATTCGATCCCTTGGACCGTAACTAATGAAGCAGATAAGCGGGGACCCGGTAGTCTTCTGTCATTCTGTCGACTGCGTATTTTCTCTGCGTGTGTGGGCGAATCTATTCAGCTGCTCGATTATCGGATCCGTGTAAGCTCTCATAACCCCACCAAACCCACTTTAGCTTTATTGTTGCGAGTCATTATCAAAGGAAGGGGATTAAGACGACTCGACAAATGTTCGCATCACATTATATTCACGCGAATGCAACGGGACTGTGCAAATAGTGGACCATTGCGGAAGTCCTCCTCTTGATCTTGAGCGTCGTTCACCTCAATCATAACCGGTGACCCCTGTCCAACTATGGGCCTTCGCGTATTTTGTGTATGTGTGTGCCCCACCCGTAGGTTTTACCTCCCAGTGTGAATCTCACCTGAGCCAATAACTTGAACCTTTAGTCATGTGATGGCAAATGCCCGTGAGCGACTGGAGATTCCTTCTTATTCCACAGGCTTGTTGATGGAATACAGGTTACAGTTGGGCATTTGCCAAGACAGCATATTCATCTTCTCCCAACCCTTCAGGGTCGTTTGCGTCGGAGGAGATGGTTTTCTTTCGGAAGCAATGCACGGGTTGCTTCTCCGCAGAAGATTGGAGTGCAATTTGCCCTTATATGATGGGCATTTACCCGGGTCTTCCGAACTCCCTGGAAATTCGCGGATCGGAATAATTCCAGCGGGTAAGTTGGCACCCGATTCTCACTTGCTGTGTATCTGTTTTCCACTATTCTTGTCAACAGCATTTACTGTTAAGGACTCTTGAGTACAAACCGTTTTATTACAATTCATTGCATTTTTCTGTCGTTCGAAATAACTAGCGCATAGAGTCGACGTTTCTGTAACTATCCGTCTTGTTCAACGGCACTAGCACTGAAGTCAGCTGTTGAATCTCTCCTGGGTTCATTTTGATCAGGCTTGTTACTTTCTTTTTTCTGATTTCTGATTGGCTCATATTCTGGGATATTCTTACTTATTTCAGCGTCTGTTGCTAGCGCGCCTTGCTGTGGGAGTTAGTGCCGATACGGATGACCGTTGAAATAAAGTGTCCCCAGGTTTTTTGTTGGGGACTTCGCCTTATATGGCTTGAAAGTATTTCCCTGTTTCCCATCGTGTTTTCAACAATGGACTGATCATGCGTAAAAAAGTAGATGACTAACATGTCCTGTAGGTAAAGCGTGAAAACGGGAGCTACTTGTACGGAGGAAAAAGTAACGCGTATCGGCGAACTCATTGTATAGTTCACATGTGCACACAGTTTGCTCACGTAATGATCTATCCCTGAAACGGGTTTAACTCATGTGGTGCAACTGGGCTACACGAATAAGGAAAATGTTCTGGCAGCATTTCAACTGTCTGTACTACACAACCAACTTCATACGGTAGTCTCGGTGAGGTGTTGTGGCTTAGTTCCAATTGATACTAGCATGATGGTTAGGACCCTTGTGGACTTGATACACCAATATAAGATCTCGCATACCACAATATTGTCCACTGATAATCCCAAGGCCTTTAGTCTAAGCTGACAAGGAAGGTGGAGCAAGTTCTTAACGCTTTAGTCGCCATCTGTTCTGGATTCTCAAAAACGGCAAGGTCACCTTTATGCCAAATATGTCACAACTGTATGGCATACTCGACATACGGTCTTACGTAAACATTGAACATTTACGAACACCTTGCAGAGACATTCCAGACAAACGGCCTTCCTAGGGGACCCACATGTTGACCAGCTATTTTCACTGCTTTCTTGGCTTGTATTGCGCATCCGAGATCGCTCCACACGAGCACCTTAAGATCACTCTCATGGAAAATGCACTGCAAAACGTGTTCTCCTAGCCGATAATCCTTGGTTTTCTCTTAGCGTATGCTCAATACTTAACATTTGGCAGCGCTAAACTCGAGTATGTTTTGAGCTAGTCATTCGAAATCTCTGTTAAGGTCGTATTACAGTGCTGTGTGGTTGTCTACTCTCTTGATTCTCCACCAAATCCTGGGATCGCCCGCAAAGGCGTAGGTTTCAGCTGAAATCTTCCGCGAGGTCGTTTATGAACGACAGTACTAGTCCTGACCCTTCTACGCAGCTTTACGGAACACCACGAAGCACTTCTATCGGGTCAGGCAAAACACTACGAAACCGCATATTCAAACGGCGGTGAGTGGAAATGCACGTGTCCAATCCCTGGATTGGGTCGCCCATCCCATAGCATCGGAGTTTGTAAAGAAGTATGCGGTGATTTAGACCATCAGTGGCCTTTCAGAAATCACGGCAGACGGCGTTTCTCCTTCCTCGGCTTCCGTCCAGCTGCCACAGGCTAACAACTGGTTCGGGGTAGATGAGCGATTCCGGCGGAATTCTTGCTGCTCCTACACGATGATATGAATCTTTCCAACTATCCCACCACTGCTACAGCGACAGATTCCATGACTTTAGAACGAACCAGTAAAAAAGTTATTGGCCGGTGGTTTGTAGGCACAGCACGGTTGTCCCCTTGTAAATGAGGTAACTATGCCACGCTTCCACAGTTAGAATCTGCATATCGTCCAGACAGCGGTAGAAAAATTGCGACATAGGTTCGGCCAACTTCATGACAGTTGCTCTCAGTACCTTGGGGCGTGTATTGTTCGGACCATCCACATCATCATCATCATTATACGTATTATCTAGAGGTGGGCAACACCTCAGCTATTGTGTCCGGACCTGTGGAACTGTTGTTCCGAAGTGGCATCAGTCACTTCAGCACATCCACCGCAGTGAAGATATGGCTAAAGTCTTGGTAGTGAAGTGGTATGTGTGAGGACGATATGAGATGGTGATGCGTTCTGGAGATTACGAGTGAATTGTCTATTAGTGCTGACTGCTTCTTCCGCAGTTTGCTCTTTCCCACAGACAGTGCTTAGAAAACGGATGCTTCGCTTAGTTTGTTAACACGCCTATAAAGTAGATCAAGATAGGAACAGAACCTCTTTGCTAAATCCTGTTGGTATTTTAATTTATCCTCGCGGACAAGTCTGACGCAACCAGTGATCTTCAACGGTGTTTAGTGGGCGCTTACTCAGCCCAGATGTCAGCCCACTTTGGTACACATTCAGAACATCTGGCTTCGCCAGCTGGCTGGTGTCAATCCGTTCACATCGACGTTGCGGACGTCCCCCGAAACGCACCAGGAGGTCGGCACAGACAAGTGCGTGGTCAGAGTCCACGCTCGTGCTCCAAATCGAGCGACAGTTTTGGACACAGCCTCTCCAGCGGTAACTGATCGCGATATGATCGATTTGCGTCCATGGCTGGCCCGAAGCTGGTGGCCGCCAAGTCACGCTTCTGCGGGTGCTGTGTCGAAAGTTAGTGCTCGCGAGAAAGAGGCGAGCATCTTCACACAGCTGTAGCAATCGCTCACCATTATCATTACGGGAGCCTACACCATGTTGGCCATCCAGATGAAGCTCATCAGCCAACACCACAGTATCCGTGCTTCTTCTGTAACGAGGAGCTCGTGAGGTTGCTGATAGAAATCATCTTTTACCGAATCAGTGCTACAGTTTGTAGGGGCGTAAGCCGCAATGACAAACAGGCAACGTTTGTCCCCGCGCGACTTCGTAGCATGGAACAAACCAGATAATCTAACGGCGCACATCCTACTGTTTACTGGGATCCAATCAATCAGGGCAGCTTCAGCCCGGGGACTCAAAATAATGCCGACGTAAGCTTGACCGGCATTTGAAGCTGCATCATCGCCAGACAGGCGCAATGAGAATGTGCCGCCAGTGTCGCATGTGGAGGATCTCAGGGCAAACACGGAGCTTGAATCTTGCAGGCGGGTTTCTGATAAACAGCAAATATCGATCGATAGGGTGTCTAGTGTGCGGGCAAGTGCTGCCTGTTGGTCAATCTGCAGCAAAGTGCGCACGTTGAGGCATGCCAGTCTTAGCGAGACACGAGGACTCCAAAGGGAAACGGCTGAACTGACGTTGTCCGCTTGGTCGAACATGGACTTGTCGACTGGATTGGAGCGATGCCCTGCGCTTGTGTGTGATTTGAAATTAGAAGACAATCGACTATTGAAGGAAGCTGGGGGAGGGCCAAGAATTGGGGGATTGAAAATGGGGGGATATAAGTAAAGTTGGAGCGGGACGATAAGGATGAAGAAGCGCAAGAAGGGGTATAAGAAGACGGGAAGGCTTGAGCAGTAGCATCCATACCCGTATCCACCCTGCTCGATGCAGCAGATAGGATGTCGTTTATTATCCTCTGCGACAGCCAGAGCATCAAGAAATTGTTGTAGGAAGTTTCATTGTATTGCGTGGGCAGAATACTGTCAGGTTGCCCAGGCCTAGACAGGAGAACGATTAGGGTTCTCAACCAAAGCCTTTGGTTCAAAAACCTTACCGCAAGGCAGCGGGTTTTGGCACTGGACTACAGAGCCCATTTTATGAAATGGGGAGCCACCCCCATTCCAATTCCCAACCTGGAGGAATAAGAGGCTGATTTTGTCTGGCCTCTAACCATTGACCACTCTGGTATGAGTGGCTCTGAAGGTGCAAAAAGGCACCACCCAGCATAGCTCAATGGATCTCTGAGGCACACAAACCATCGCACCACGGTAAGGTCCAGCCTCATTGCGATGGAGTCTGACGCGATGGTTCTGCTCGGTTATGTGTGCATTTCAGTTCTCGACGTTTGGAGTAAATTTATTTGCTTGCTAAAATAAACCTCTCAATGGCATTCGTTTTCGCGTCATGCGCCTCAGAAAAGACTACATTTTCTAAGTTAGGGATCTTAATCTCCGAGGAGTTTGTTACCAACGTACTGAGCTGGTTGACGGACTCCTCTCAAGCGATATCAGGGTGTTGTACAACTCAATGCGATTTTCGTGAGGTCGAATGGGATGCTGTGATTTGTTGCGATACGGACTTCGGATTGCACCTTTGAACTGCTCTGCGTAACACACGTAGCAAAGTTGCATGATTGCTCCATCCCAACAGGCTACTCTCTGTTACTGTGTCGATCATAAGTTCCACATTAGTTCAGACATGGTCTAGTATGACCGCTTTGTTCCCCGCTCCGGATCTCGTAGCTGGTGGTAGGCCAGTCCCTATCTCTCGCGTTTCGATCTTAAATTGCTCACCGAGGTAGGTCGGAACCTTTAGAGTATGCAAGTTGAGGTCTTCCACAAGAAGGACATTGCTGTAAGGCTGTACCAGAACAGTCTTTAGAGCGTAAGCCAGATGACTATCCATTTCTAGTGTGCAGCTCGGTGGGCGATACTCGATCGCAATCGGACGTGTGTCACCCATTCTTAGTTTCAGGCTTCACCAAGACGGGTTAACGAGTTGACTCCATGAATCATCAACGATTCGACGATATAGATCAATACGATAGTACAAGATTACATTATCTCCCCTACTGGTCGGTCCTTACGTAGGACGGACATGCCTATTAGAACGACTAGTGGTTTCGTCGTTCAGCCAGGTTTCCGTTTTCATGATCCGGTTCCAAAACGTCGATACTTGAAGAGAATGAAGGTCAGCTAGTTTGCTGCAAATTTCCTTTCATTGGCATACCAATAAAAATGTTTAGACTGTCAGAAGCGTATTTTTAGAATACCAATAATATCAGGTGGAAGCTTTTGCCGACCGTTGTGTGGTTGGGAACTAATCGTTTTTCGTGTGAGCAGATAACATATTGGCTGCTAGAAAGCTCACAGATTGAAGTTCCGGTTCCAGTGAGTATTGAGCAAGTCGCTTCTCTCTTAAAAGTTGGTTGTGCCCCACAGTTGGCTGTTTTGAAAATCATATTTACTGAGGTCGCTGTTAAATCCTGTTGATTTCGTTCTCTCGGTCAACTGGGGTTTGGTGTTAAATACCTTTGTTGTAGTTGCTTTGGGATGATAGTTTTGTTGAAAATTTTCCGCTTCTTCATGTTCTCTGCAATTAACTTACTAATGAACATGACCGTCAGGTGACAGCGTATTTCTATCGATCTTACTAATTCGATCGGTGCTTCAAACCGGTGGAACACAGCTGTCTATGTTGCGTGAAATGCCCCTATGTCACGCCCCAAGTAGAAGTCTGGCCAGATAACACATGGATTCACCAGAGCCACTGTACTATGTCTGGACCGAATATGTCCTCAGTGCTCGTCCCTCCGAACTTGCCACCTTGTTGGATAACCCTAGAGTTCGCACTGCCACTTCTAAAACTAGATGCAATTTGGAAGTCACTCGACGAGTTCTCAACCGACGAATGTACGATCAGTGGGCCAGGTACTCCATCGTGCGAATCACTGGACCTGATGACCAGTCGATTAATCAATGTAATCGTATGTTGGAGCGCGCTATCCCGTTGTATCAGCAGCGGATAGAATATTCCCGCCGGGCGCCTGTTACTTTGTATTCCAAAAATGTTGAAGCTGAAGGTGATTTTCGGTCTAGAGTAGGGCACTTAGCTTTGAGTTCAGGAAAAAAACGTCCGTCGAGCGAGGGCCGTTCGATTAGTACCAAGAATGATCGGAATATTGACTCACCATTTGTGCAGACAGGCTCTTTTATTCTGGACATGAGCGGTCATGTGCAAGTCTCATACGATGATCCTACTTCCCTACGTTCTGGTGGTAGTCATGCAAAATTAGATGCTAAATTTAGCACTCGATCTGCTGTCACAACCTCATCACACAGCGACGAGCAGCTCGGTGCTCCTTCTCCCAAAGCAATATCTGTCATTAATTCTGCGATGAATACGTCTGTCATACAGGATGATGGTAAGGCTTCCCTCTCATTTGCGATTTCCGCGAAATCTGGTGACTCACTTGAGGTTAATGCCATTGGTCAGGCCGATGTGGCGATGGTTCACTCGGCCACCAGCGATGTGCATCTGAAAAACACTGCAACTTCAGATGGTCATAGCACCTCTGTTCTGCATCAAAATCTGCCTAACACCCTCTCGGGTGAATCCGCCGCTGATTCTGTCGGTCGGAAAGCACTCGGACTTACACATGGAGTTGCTGATCACCAAGAGGATATTGATGCTGGAGCTGATGGTTTACCAGCCCGTGCAGTGTTAACTACTCAAGTTTCTTACGAATCGACCATGTCAATGACTCATACTGATCATCCACCTTCAACGAAGCCCACGGAGGTGCTCTCTCAAACTTCACCTCCTAGCGATGCTGGTCAGCCAGAAGGGGAACGTTCCGTTATTGACAAGGCGTATAGTGCGGTGGGGACAACCTTGCTCGAACAGCCACTTAATCTGGAGTCTAATGTGAGGGCGATGAACGAATCGCGACCATGCACTGCCACTATCAAAACGGAAGTATCTTTTAATCAATGTTCTGGGCCAGATAGTCATTTCTTTGCCGATGTACGTATTTCGGTTCAATCTCGTGGACCTACGGAGGAAAATGTGGTTGCTGTAGACCCTACTATCCCACTTCCCTTGGAGAGCAAGGCTGCAGTCGCTGTGTTAAATACAGACGCGTTCACTGAAAAAATAGATTACCCGCCACAAAATTCTCTCATCGATACAAACGTTGTCACCCACCATAAGGAGGCGCTCCCAACTTCCGAAGACAATGTTTTTATACCTGAGCAATCTGCTGCGATTCCGTCGACCAATAGCGGCTTAAATGATGTGAGCACTGAACAAAACAGTTCCCGGATGATCGCATCCGTCACAAGTGGTTCTCTGGCTCTTAGATCCTCACGAGCTGCCGGTGTGCCTGCTGAGGTTCTTGAGGCAACCTGCCCCTTACCGGCCAATAGTTTGCAGCGGCCCACGGATAAATCTCAAAATTCCACTGCGTTGACAACGACTTCTACCAAATCAGAGAAGAAATTGACGCTGCATGCATCCGGCCCAGCCTCTGGACCTCATTCTACCCCCGCTAACTCAGCTGATGCGCGACTTGTACTCACGGAATCCGCTCAGCTTACCCAGAGTGATAAAGCTACCAAATTCGAAACTCACACCGCGATCCAAATGTCTGTCAGTCACCTAGAGTCAGAGGAACTAATCGATCTAAAGGAGACTAGCGTTCAAGAAGTCGAAGACCTCACCAAGCCTTTAGCCCATCCTCCCAAGGGCCAACCCTCTTTGCCACTACCGGCGACGAATTCTAACCCAAATCCCCTGTCACCGACCCCCGAGGGTAGAATGCATACTTCACCCGGTGTACAACCCACTAGCCCTGTTTCTATTACCACAAGTATCAGTACCAATCTGGAGGTGCACGTGAACCGTGAGACTGGTCAGATTGACTTTTCATTCGAGGTGAACGGCACTCCTATTCCCTCGGCTTTCGGTGGCGGAAATGTGCCCGCCCACGACCCGTCGTTTTCGGCTGAGTGGAATTTCAAACTCGAACGCAATGCAGCTTTCGGTCCCGTGGGTGCTATTGTCTCACCAAGCGAGACTCCTGCTAGCACAGCCAACGGTTTAATGCGGATGAATTGATTTTGGTCATATCCCGGTTTGGAATCCTCATTTCACACCTCAGATCTACTGTCATTCTGACACAGTTGGGATCAGTTTTAGACCTTGATTTCGCTTTCCATCTTCTCACACCTGCGTTGCTTCGGTGCTAAATTGACGCGCATTTTCGCCACTTTGAGACGATCTGTGTCCTATTGCTTCACCATCTCATTCTCTGGACGTTGACGCAGTGTGCTGACCACCGCTTATGGGTGCATTCCCTTACTTTGTGTCCACCAGAACCACTGGGTTTATTCTTGTTTTCCATCTGTGGCATTTGCGCTGGATCCAACCGCTGATACTGTTTGTACTTCTTTACTTCTTTCCACCATTGACGAAGCATAGATTCGCCCCATTACTTTTCACCTCGGTTGTCTCATTGACAAATTTGTCGCATAAAAAGACAAATCTCTGAATTGATCAAGTGTCTTTTTGGGCAGCAACCTCAACTAACAACTGTGTGCTTGCGCTTACACCTCTATTCCCTTTCATGCAGTTTGAGATCAGAGCGAAGAGGTGGGAGCACACACGACAACCAGCCCTCGTGCACACCACCAACATGGCCCAAAGCATGTACTGTCAGTTCCGCTTGTGGTACACTTTGGTACTTTTTACATGTTAGTTGGTTGGTTACCACAAACTTTCCATAGCCATCGACTACCGCAGCTGAGGATTATTAACTTCACAGGCCACAAACTATAATCTGTTTATTTCACGTAATTTTAGCTCCCATTCAATGCGATTTTATGTTTGGCTCACCCGGGGAAAAGGTGGTGCCGATCGCTACGTTATTGTTCATACATTTACCACGACAGTGCAATACGGCAGAACCGCACCCTCTGACCCACATACTGCTTATCACCCAGTGATGCACGCGGTTAGGTTAATGCATCTCCAACTATCACTATCATCGAGTACTCGCTCGACATAGTCGTTTGGTCCAGTTATGATCAGGTCGTCAATGAAATTGCGGCGCTTAGCAATTAGACCCATGTGAGTTGCGAGGTCATTTTATCGACCAAGAGTAACGCATACCACGTGGTAATGCACAATGCTATTTGGTCAGTTTCACGACCAACGCTATTTGGGGCCGTTGGGAAGTTTGTATATTCTGACCACTAGCGCTCACTTCTAGAACCGCTGTGTGAGTGCCCTTGCGTTTCACCAATTGGGATGTGGTTATTGATCCATCGGTAGCCAGTGAAACGGCGTGTTAAAATCGGACCGTCTATCTCCGGTGTCATGTTTTTATTCCTTACTACCTCTGATGATACCGCATTTTGAGGCAGCGGGTCAGTACTGTGGTAAGATTATAAAAAGAAACTGGCTACCTTGTCTTGTCACTTTTGTAAGGTTGATTCAGGATCGACTAGGGCAGTCGTGATCAATTCATCTGCAGTTACGGTGTCAGTGGCGCTGTTAGGTTCTTTCTTTCCTTATATCCAGCCTTTCCAACATGCACTTCCGGTTCTTTCGGCTGATTTTCACTGAGCACGCCAAACTCTGGCTCTCATCCTTATCATATTTTTCCTTTCATAGTTCAAGTAAATAAGCCATTTCTTCACGAGGAGCTTCAGCACAATCTCCCAGTTACTCCGCACAAAACCCCAGATGATGATGATGATAATAATAATAATACGTATATTTCTCTTGATGAGAGAAACTGTGCTGTCGCGGCACAGATCAATTTGTACAGAAGAATCCATGCTCTTGCATGGGTGACACGCATAGGTGGAGTATTGGGATATGCGTTTCATTTATTAACATTCTGCCGGATGGTTGAGGCCAAAGCCTAGTTATGAAAACATTTGTGTTTATATGTTTTTGGGCCCCTCTTGGAATAGCTCATCGAGAAATTTTTCCCATGTGAATATAGAGCTTAGGGTAATTAGACTAAGGCAATTGGCGAGTCTGCTACTAAATGTTGCCACATTGTCACATGACCTGAGTGTTATTGGTAGTTTATTCCACAGATAGCTGTATCTGATCAGGAAGAAATTAGCGCGGATGTTCGTTCTGGCCTTCTGTATATTCAATGTAAAATCTTTGTTTCAAACCGCTCGAGTTGAGCAATCTTGTAAATTGAATGTAGACAGGTTGGAATAGGTCTTTTTGTGTAACATGTTGAAAAGCAGCCACAAGTTCTGCTTCAATCGTCAAATCCAATGTGGTTCTAGGTGAAATTCATTGCAACATTCTCGATAACTCATTGCAGAGTGTTTACCGATCAGATGTTTAGTAAATGACCTCTGTAGGTTCTCCACAGCCATTCTGTCATTCTCTCATATTTCCGTATAGTATGCTGCAGTATTCGAGGATGGGGCGACTGAGTAGTTTGACAAGCCCAACTCTAGCACGAGTTGTGTGTATTTTGTTTGATATATTGAACATAGACTGTCTAGCACGTGCTACTTGGTATTGGGCTTGTTCGGAGAAATTGAAGGTAAACAAGTACTTAATGCCAAGATCTCGTGTGGACAACTGTGTACGGACGCGTTCATTGTTTAGAATGACAGATGCTTCGAGGATGCAGTAGCCGTAAGACATGATACTTGATTTCTTAGCTGAGAGCTTCATCACCCATGTGCAGCATCATGACTCAAGGGAATGTAAATCATATTGAATGAGCAGTAATGTCCCATGAAGCTCGTCACGCCGAAGATTATAGACGATTTTGATATCGTCAGCAAATAAACATGATGTACCATGTTTTACAGATGTGATGATGTCACAGATGTAGAGCAAAATGAGTAGGGGACCGAGCACGCTCCCTTGAATGACTCCACTGGTGATTGAGCGTGGGGAAGAGCGATAATCACCTAAAGTAACTACCTGATGACGATCACTCAGTTATGACGATAGCCAACCTAGTAATGTGTCCTGGATCGGAAAATTCTCTAACTGTTGTAACAGTCGCTTGTGCGGTACTTGTTCGACGAACATTTGGTGTATATCAAGCAACAGGATTACTACTGCCTAGCCTGAATCGATTGATTCTGAAATGTGGTTAATGTAATGCAGTTGACAGGTGGTTCACGATCGCTTAGCACGAAAATCATGCTGCGAATTATTAATTAAGTCAATATCATCAACAAAGTTCATCATCTTTTTGTGACCAGTTTTTCAAATAGCCGAGCGATTATCGGAGTGTGGTGGATTGATCGGTAGTTATCAATCATTTGTTTGGGCCCTCCTTTATGCCGAGGCATAATAAACGACGTTTTCCATTGGTCTGAAAAGTGGCCAGATTCCAGCGCTAGAGTGAACATGCTCATCAGTAGCGATGATATATCAGGTCCTCCTAGTTTAATGGTGGTTGGTGCAATGCCATCAGATCCCAGCTTGGAAGATGGCGTGATTAATTTGATAACTTGATGGATAGCGTTGAGCGAGATATCGACTATGCTTAAGATGTTTATTTCGGTGAGCTCTGTGCACACAGGCATCGGGTCAGCTTCGCGACTCATGGTAGTGGCAGAAAAGTCACTGAATGCTGCACAGATTTCAGCTGGGTCATGGAGTAAGTGACCCTCACCATCAACATTTTCGGTACTTAGAGGAGAGCGGTCACTGGTTCTACGATGCAGTATTTCGACAAGCTCCCTAGCTTTGCAACTTGTCCGTAGGGCTGTATGTTCTTCATTTTTTCGTCGGGTTAATTACGCGTGTTTGACTCTGGTGGTAAATTCATGCATTTGTAAGACAAGTGAAAAGTCATAGGTTCTTCTGTATCATGCAGCTAACTTTTTGGTTTTCCTGCTGATTAAATGCTCGATAGAGTCTTTGGAGACATGTGAGGTATGAATACGTTGTGGAGCGAGGAGGGCTATAGCGTGATGTATTTGTTTATAGTACTGCTTCACAGTGGTGTACACACTGGTAGAGAGGAAAAATACATCCCAGTCGGAGAAACGAATGAACTGCTGAAAGCATTCCCAGTTTATCTTATGGGTTGCAACTGGCGTTGTAGAGGCGAGTTTAGTGGCCATTTTAATCTGGGAGCTGTGTCGGATCATGTTATGGTCGCTGCCAGGGAGATCGTTTAAGATCTGGGCCTGTGGATTGGTTATCCCCAATGTGAATATTAAGTCCAGTACGTTGGCGGACCTGGTTGGACTCGTAATCCATTGTGTCCAACCCCCAGCTCTGATGGGAGAAAGAATAGAGGCGTGCAAGGTAGATCTTGGGGGGGGGGGGGATGACCAGCGTATTTTTGGTAGGTTGAAATCGCCGGTAATAACCTTCTGGCTGTGTGGCGACTCTGATGCGAAATCAAATGCAGAAGTGATGTTGGTGGTACTCACGTTAGACCCATTCGGTGGGTTGTAGATACATGTGATCAGTGTGTAAGATGAGACACCCGCAACTGACAACCAAATAGATTTAGGAATATTTTCCAATTGTGAGTGGTCTATAGGTTTAGCTGTATATGTTTTACGTAGATATACAATGCAGCTTCCACCTTTTCTGTCTCAGCAACCTTTTTCAATAGGTGGTAGTTTGTAATCATCAGAGTAGAGTCAAGTGTATCTAACGGATATAACCACGTTTTCAATGTCAGATTCAGGCGGGGCCTCTGAGTTAACCAACTATTATTCCGTCTGCACCTCGAGCACCTGGCATATCGGAGGTTGGGGTTGACTGAATCCCTATGGAAATGTTTCCCACCGATGGAGTCTGCGGACCTTCTATCTGTGGAAAATTTATTGTCAATACTGTTGATCACTGATTTCCTCGTATCATGTAGTCACTTTAGTTGGAAGAGCCTTTTTTACTTTTCTACTCAACAAAACTTCACGGCTCACCTAAATGCATCGCCATAACGCCGACGCTTCGCTGCCACCTGATCGCCAACCGTTGCGTGTGGTCTGGTGACACTGCAAGGTCACCTGCACTTGGTCAGCATTGAATCGGCAGCCCTTGGATAACAAGTCAAACGCCTAAACGGCCACCAGCTTCACAACATTCACTGGCAGCTGTCTTCTGTCTTTCTGCTTGAACTGTTCTTGGCGCCAACTGGGATTCTTCTCATGGGTTCCAGCGGGTTCACTAGTGCTCCCGCGTCCGATGTACTGGAATATTTCTGTGTTTATGTAGCATTAAACGTAGCTCAGATTGTTCGGCTGGTGTTCGGATTGTTCGATTAGCTTGGCAGTTTTGTTGCGAACGTTTCGTCACCAATCTTTGTGGCACCACCAGTGCGCAATGATGATATCGCCTCAATGGGTGATGAAACGTCAGCAACAAAACTGTCAAGCTCTGTGAACACTCTGATCACTAACTTCTGATATCTTAACGAGAAGCTCCGTTTCCTTGTATATCAGCAGAACTGCTACAGAGACTCAAGATCCGCTCCAGAGGGTATCCTATATTAGGTTTACCACAGAGTGAAACGTATTTTCGGATATTAACCAAGGATCTTATTTGCTACACTTCTCCGTACGAGTAAGCTAAATCGCTGTAGACACCAGCTCAAGTTGCGTCGGAGGTATTGAAACTCCGCACTAGTACATCGAGTTCTTGATGGAAGACGTCGTTGTCGGTACCAGGTTTTTATGAGTTCAAGCGTAGGCAGCAAGCGTTTGATGCTCCCCGCGTTCTCGCCTTGTTCGACGTTGTCAGACTGAGTGTACCCAACTAATTATTCACGAGAATCCAATTAACTAGCAATATGAACGATATCAACATATATCAGATTGTTCTGTGGTTGGTGCATTGTCATTCTCGGATGTGAACGGCCAACAGCAAGATCATGATTTGGTCAGTGTGACCCAAATTCCGAACACTGGTGGCACCTGCTACATTTTTGGGTTGTAGACTTGTAGTCAGTTTATCAAACCGCTGTGACAGTATGGTAAAGTTCGTTGGCAAACACATACCGTCTCTGTTCACGCATTTCGTTTGACGCATGGATGTTATTGTTGGCCCATTAACGCTGCCACTTGTGTAGCAACTACCCATCTGTAAAATATAATTTTGAGCCACATAAAGCACAATACTTGCAGCGATTGTCAGTAACTAGCCTTTGCCGAGCAAAAAATATTATTATGACTAAATAAGTCGGAAGCCACTCTTGTTTGGAGTGAATAACATCAAAATATCTTTGCTTCGGATGCGGTCCGATTTCATTAGACTGCATGTTATGGTCAAAAATGAGTACGTATCGTGACCCAAACACAGAATGGATAATACTTCAAAACTCAGCATGCTCTCTCACGTTGTTTAGATAGGTACTATCTGTAGCGGCGGACGCAGTACGGTTTGTGCCTTTTGAATTCGGCTAATTCTCCCCCACACAGATTGTCCTGCAAGCTTCTCCTTAGCCTAGGCCTAAATCTAGTAGTTCCAGTTTTACTTAAACTCTGGTTATATTCATAGGTATGGGCAAAAAATACAGATTTTAGAACGACTAGGTTGATCTCCAATAATCTCGAACAAGAACTTGTTAAGGCAGCTGGTAATATCCTCAAACCTCTACGGATTTGAACTTGTCAACTTTATCCAACTGTGCTGATTAGTCCGTTGTAGAGATAATGCTTTGTTACCTACCTGGCAGCAGCTGACAGCCATATGGCTCCGAGAGCATAGGGCCTCCTTAATTTGCTTCATTTGTGCGTACACAATTGGTTATTGAGGGCATTTACCTCACCTGAGCTCTGTTGAGGCTTTCTTTTCTAGTCTTTACAGGTTTGCATTTCCTCCAGGGATTTGAGACATTAAATGCACTTATCGAACCCCATGGTTGCATGCCCAGTCCGGGTGCATTATTCAATGCTATAGATCGAAATACCCGCAGACTGTGTTGGCTAGTGTGGTGTTGATTAATCATCTGAGCCAGGCAATTTTGCTGCAAGTGTTTTACCACCAGTCGAGGTAGCATCTTCAATTTGTAGTGATAACTAGTCTGTTTGGTAAACGCAGAACCTCAAGCAGATCCACTACCGCACTGAAGCTACCACCTCCATTGATGGCGGAGGGTCTGCTACAGAATTGTCCGGCTGCGAGAACCAACCAACATACCATTGTTCACTGCTTTTGTGATGATAATGCGACATCGCGGTAGAAACCGCGAGTTTAACGCCTGAGACGAATTGGACGAGTTGTAGCTTATCACCTAAATATTCCTAGTGTTAAGCCCATTTGCATTATGGTATTGTCCCCAGTAATATGATTGTTCTCTTGTTTATCCTTCACGGGGTATCATACATACCCCATAAACGTTAACTGTATTTATTCTAAGCTTCTGTCTACCATCTTGGCCTGGATGTTTATGTGATTTCCTTTGGCTGTTCGTCATATGTCCCACGTGTCGAATTTGTCCGTGGACTACACTAATTCGTAACACCATCAAGGTGTCTTCCTTCGATGTGCACTGCGACAGTCATTCCTTGTACTTGTTTATCCACTCTGAAGGAGGCGCCCACAGCGCGGTAAATTCCAACCTTCTTGTATTGCGGTGTTACCTAGTGACCGCACCACCTAATAATATGTGCGAGGAAGGTATTTCACAGCACAAAGTATTCATTCGCTTGTCATGGGCCTTTGAGCGATTCTCCGGATTTTTTTACGCCGCTTATGCGTAAATATGGTCTTTCATTCTTTTCAAACAGGCTCTACCGACACCGTGGCGTATTCCACCCTAGGCACCAATGACGTGATGACGTCCGTACTGCACATTGTGCTGGGTGAGATACACCTACCTACTTGTTTATTCTGTCGTTCATTATATTTTTATCTGTCAGGATTCACGTGTCTTCTTCTTAAGTCCTGACACATCCTTACGTCCACCTTTTTGCTGACGCTGATCTGATTCCACATGCGGATGTTTCTTTAAACGCATACCGTGCTTCAAGGGGCTCTCGTAAATTGGATGCAGCTTGGGGGATTTCGCTGTGGGTCTGTCTCACCCCTGCACTCCACGACCGACGGTTTCGTCCTGGTTTGGGCTCATCAGGTAGAGATAGCCGGTCTGGGAGTGGAACTCAGCGTATACTGCTTGGCGGCTATCGCCATGATCACTAGGCTATTGAACTCCACCAGCATCCTTGTTTTAGTCTGCAAGGCTCTTCTTCTTAATACACAGTTCCCATCCTTGGTAGACCATTAGTCTTATGTGTCTAAAGTTCCTGTTGGCTCATTGCGTGCGGTGAAACGGTTCTAATAAATGTGCCCTATCAACTCTGGCAAAATACGTGCCTCACTGTTTCACCGCTGCATTATAGTTTCAGGATAATTCTCTTTAAAAGCGGACATACGCTTGGTATCTGCAAATGTGCAAAACGCGCATTTGTTTCCCTTCAAATAGACGGGTAGAATCCAAGTACCGAAACACGAGATGATCCAGTTGTCAATAGCTCGCGTTGCCACACTTCTAACAATCACTACTGGTAATGAAGATGCTGTAGATTGAAACGAAAAGGGTTAGTGAAAATCGATGAAACCTGTCAACTACAAATACACAATACGGGAGCCCCTTTAATTCCACAACTGCACCATACCGGATAAAGTGGCTGGTCCCGAGGCTACTTTTCTCGGAGTGCTGTGCGTACCTGCACCGCCCAGTCTCTCAGGTAGTTTCTTCGCACTTTTCTGTGACGTCATCGATCTCACTACATTAAGTTAGCGACAACAAGTGCTTAGATAGGCGATCAACGAACAAATCGGTGCCACCACTTGACCAGCGTAACCGGTCCAACTTCAACAGACGCTCCAACACACACTGCGGAGCTTTTTCCAGACACTTGCCGGCGGAATTCGGTACACATTTCGGTGCTTCAACGAGATTTAATCAATACTTCGCAAGCCCATCCCGGTGTATTGAATCTTGCTAGTTACCTGATCTCTTCAATGCTACATGACCGTTTCGGGTCTATAGGTGACACCAGTTGTATCGCAGCGTTTGTACACCCGCAACGGTCGTTCGGATTCTTTGAATTATCAATGCACCGTATAGATTTTACCTGATCTTCCTATCGTTCCATTAATCTGCTGAGATACGATGATAACAGACCGCCTTATCACAGAGACTCGCAGCCACTCCTGGTTATGTGTTGGTAGGTTTGCACTTACTGAGACTATCGTTATGTTCCCGTGACTGACTGCATCGGTCGAAGACGTGTATCGGCTAAATGCGGTTGTACACCACCATTTGTAAACTGCCTCTGTGATTCCTATCAAAATTATTATGTCGAGTTTTACGGATTAATAGATGTCATTGGACGCATGAACACCGTATTGGCTGATCGAATCTCTGCTGGTTTGACATTTTATCTTAATTAGCTCATCAGCGTATTAGTTTTCTCAGATTCTCCCTAACGATCCCTTCTCGGTTTTGCCTGACGCCCAGGAGACGACCTACCCTTGGACGTCGCAGCAATTCACTCAAATGAAGACGGCGCCTTTTTGCGCTATGCTCTCTCCATGGTTGGTTGTGGATTTTACGCCGATCTGTTGAAGAACGATGACAGTCGCCGATGGATGGGTCCTCGAAGATACGACTGTTCAGGTACGGGAAAGAGTCGGATTTGATGTACCAGTTGATTTTTATAGTGTCCGACTGTAGGAGATTTCTTTATGACCTAGGTATTGTTTTCCTCAATGTTAACACAGTTGAATTGAGAGCTAATAGTTACATGCTCACAACACAAGCTCCAAGCGATAGTTGTTTACTGTGGGCGAGATGCTTCTTTCTAGTTACCTGCACGAGGACGTTTTCCGCTACCGATTTATCACGAACCGGTTTCGTCCTTATTAGCATCTATTTCGAGGACACACTCATATGCATCCGTTTGTAATACTATTACTGAGTGCAACAGGGCTGCAGCGGTCCATGCTCATGAAAAGAACTTTCCTCTTGCCTCTGGTTGTATCCACCGAAAATGCACCTTTGTTCGTTCTTTTTCTTGCGTTGGAGAATCGTTTGTCACGGCTCCGTGCGTTTTCTGTTCAGGCAGACCAGGGGGTTTCCACAGTGCTACTTTAAAGACGGTGGATTGCGACTCGGGTCACTACTTGATTGTTCTCTAGGCACTCTACCTTAAAACCGAGTTGCTATCTCGTAAACGGCGTCTATGAGGACGAACTTGAGATCACTTCGCACCGTCGTCTACTTTTCATCTGTTCTGTTTCGTCGCCGGTATTGATCCATCGCACAACAGCCGGGTCATATACCTGGACAGCTGAATCGATGTCCCATCCCCACGGATCTGTGTCGCTAATATTGGCGTCTAAAGGAGTTTTGAGGAGGACACACTAGGAAATGTCGCTTTAACAAGAATTACTCCGTCGTATTTCCGAGAAAAACTGTACTTTTTCACTACCCTTCTACACCCACGCTGTCATGCAGTTCACTTGATCAGCAATGATTCTTACATAAAAATACTGTGAATTTTCTTGGGTTGCCTCATCTCCATAATAATAACATCAGTAATCCTAATGACGATAACTTGAAAATGTGCGGAAGTGCACTAACATCATTCGGTGAAAATGAACCATGGTATTCTCACTGCCGAAGGAAGAGCCATGAAAAGCAAAGGAGCGAATGCGTAAGCGTCGCTAGGCTATACGAGACACACCCGTAATGGATTTCCCACATCTACAAATCTCATCCAGAAGCACGGCGTACACCTATCCGGTTTAGTCCTTTGATCAGTTTTTCTATTTTTTTGTTCTATCAAATAATCAGTCGGGTTTGATCCAGTCAAGCGTAATGATAGCAAAAGTGCTCGTCTAAATAGTCGGCCAGGTGGCATGCGAAAGACGATCATGATAGCCTAATCAGCCTGAGTTCAACAGATAATGTAGTATATAATTAGAGGGTGTTGCTGAACCCTAATCGGCTGGATTCGGTATTTTCTCTTCGGCGCTTTCTCCTAATATGAGCAATACTCAGGTTACAGCAGTGGTCACGGCGGCCAGTTTCTTGATGCCCTCGGCTTCAAGCGCTCGTAAATTGTACATACTTTTTGCCTGTGAGTGCAGTTACCACACTAGAATCTCCGAACCTGATCACACAATGGAATGGACCAAAGTGGCCGACATAATAACGAATAATAATAAATAAATCGCCAGCTGTTCGCCGTAACGGCGTTTCGCTGCCACGCGACCACCACTAGTTGCGCGTGGCTGAGTATACCGCGAGGACATCCGCCCCTACCCGGATTCGAACCGAAGACCTTATGGTTGCAAACCAGACACGCATACCACTCGGCAACCGGCCAACATAGTGTGTTGGTCAACATTGGAGGTACTATACGCACGTCTTGTTTCGGATATATTAGATGAACGAACACAGTGCAGTCATGCAACATAATAATACTTCAAGTTGCAGTGTGCTTTCCTCAAAATACTTTATTTTGTTGAGAAAGCTGAATTTTTTCTACTTTTTTTTCAGCAACATATGGAGATTGAAATATCGCCGTCAACACAGGCTACACCATGTTGTATGCTTTGTCATCTTTCCACAGCAACTGGCTTTATTTTCCACAAATGATTCCTTACGGCATCCTTTTTTGAACCTTGTAATCTTCACTTATTTTTCTTCCCCACTAGATGTTTCTTGTTGAAATCCGTAGATGTGAGTCGCAGGCAGTATCTCTTAGGAAATGGCAACTGAGTGTGGTTTAGTGCGTCGCCAAACCACTCGATAAATGTGCGCATTGACATTGACCAAGTTTGCCGAACGTTACGATGGAGAGGACTAAAATGGCTTCAAAATCCTCTTGGCTAGCCAACTGACCCATCAACAGCATAATCGCAACAACCAGGGGAAGCTATCTTAATGACCGCCCGTCTCTGTCAGAGATCTTAGGCAGCCAAATGAAGGTCACTGAACACAAATCGAGGAGTACACTTGTTGGTCGGTCACAAATCGATGACCGAATCAGCTGACTACACTCGACCTAATAGTGCTTTGAAGAATTCACGTTCCGTGATGAAACATTTGCAAACAAATTGTGACGCTCGGCGAAGAGGTGAAATGCGAAACGATCCCCCCAAATTACCAGTGTTCCAATTAATTTTAAGACAAACATCATTCCTTGCTATTTTCGCGCAACCACAGCGCAAACTACCCATGGTCCCTCTGTAGGCGCAGGCGCCCTGTGTCTCTTACGCAGGTCGCAGTGCTTACGCTGGAGGCTTACCTGACCAGCTTGGCTGGGAAACTTGCAACTGCATGTGCTACAGCACCATGCGGTCGACGTCGATGGGCTATCCTCCATCGCCGCCTGTCGCTACTTCAGTCAACGTTTCTTTTCCGCATGCACCAGCGATTCCTCAGGTATTTAGACAATTACCCTCTTGATATGCTATCGCTATCGTCACCGTTCCACTTCCGTCGCTTCCCAACAACCGAAATCAACACTAGTTCGTGATAAATTCACCTTGATGTCCTGATAGGGTAACCGGTTTTGCCACATTCCGGCCCTTAGCCTTAAGGTTCACAGGTCTGCCATGTAATCCGAGGACGCGGGTTTGTGCCTGTCTAGGGACCGGATGATCCTCACTGTGTCGTTAGTCCACGTGTAACTGAGGGTGTTTGCGCGGCCGCGAAACGTCGATACCGCATACCCTCGTAACACTGCCTTTCCACATTCTACTTCCCTGCACTAAGTCGATCATATAGCAGCTGCTTAGGTATCTGAGTCGGTGTACATTCCCGATCCAACTCAGGCACCTCAGCAGAAGTATGCAGCCCACTGCAAGCATGTCATTGCAACGGAGCACCTCCGTGTTAGCAATTTGGACACCCAAGATGTTGCGCGCTTCATGAGACTGCTGCTCTTTGCTTGAGCTGACTGGGTGCACTTTCCTCCTGACAGTATGATGATAGATCGGTTACAGACATCCATTGTGGAGCGAACTATGGCCCAGCCACCGCTTTGCATATTTCTGGTACGCATGATTCTCCACATACATATGCAGGAGTGCTGCCGCTGTGTATGGTGAGGGGATGTGTACTAGCTCCGTCGTTGAAATGTGGCTTTCATCCACGTGTCTCCTGTTTTATTTCTTCAGATTTACACTGAATTCGGGGTGTGTGGATGGAACTGTGGATGGTGCACCATGATCCCTCTAGGCGCAGGCGTTCTGTGGCTGCCCTATGGAGGACGCCTTGTCAGGCAAATCCGGAACCGGATGCCACCTGTCATATCTTTGCCCTGTCACTTCTATGAGTATAGCTAGTGGTAGAATATGTGAGACGAGGTGAGTAAAGTATCAAGATTCCACACTCACTGCTTTCGACTGAGGGCTGTCAAAAAGGTCAAAAGTCGAAGAAATGTGCTAGGTAAAGTTGTTTTGATGACGTTCCTTTACTTTAAGCCGGTCTTGACTCTGAGGATCGCTCATATCTCTGTCTGAAGGCTTCGCCTGCAAAATTCCTTTATGTCGGCGAAAGTCTGACTCGGCCACTAAAGTCCCATTTCCGCCTTATAGTCGGGCTGCGCTGGTTCACATCGACAGGACATTAGTTATCGGAGAATCTACTCCAGTTGCTTCTGCACTTCTCTTTACACAACGTGCATGTATGAAACCATAATGAACATAAACTTATACATATTCTCATCCCATATGTTGAAGCAATTTGTAAAGAAAATCTGCATGCATTTTGCTAATCCGCATGTAGGTATAGTCTCTCGCACCGTCGAGAAATAAAAGTTTTGTTTTTTGTTTATCTAATTGCTCCTCTGAGTTCACCCCAACGAAAAAATGCCTCAACATTACCCTGTTTCACCCTTTCTACACTCTGATTGGTTCAACCGTGTAACTCAAATCGCTCAATGCACGCCGTGCTTTCGTGTTTGTGCCTCCATACTCGTCATCGAAAAAACTGGTCGCTGAATCCGGCAATCTGAACTCCGCCATACACAGCGAGACCTGTCCCGGTGTACTGCCCTTGGCGCCGAAGTGAAAAACCGGACCACTGACTAGGGTTCGGAAGTGAATTAATCATCAGTGCCATGGTCACTTTACCTCATGAGCTCTAGTGGTCTATCCGCGTTGCCTAAAGTCAATTCTTGGACCAATATTTAATGCAGAAGAGGACTAGCGTGTTCTAACTGCTTCACCCATTACCACACTAAATGTGAGAACATGATGCTAAGTGAGCTGGGTCTGCCCCACCACAAGCCAGATCCCTTTCGGTTCTGCTTGAAGTCCATTATCATCCCATTAGCTAAGACCGTAATTACACTGTCCCCGAAGTCTGAAGTGCCGACAGAAATGGTCTAGCAAATGTTGGACACAAAACACTTCTATAGAAACAATCGTAGCCAATGTAGGACATATGCACCTACAAGGAACTCCAAAGCCCAATCCGCGAATCAGGATCTTCTGCCAGCAGAGTAACACTTGCAAACACGGTTGGCAACCTCTGCGCCGCTAAGCCGCCCACGAACTTGGCACTTCCATTTCCTCCCACCAGGCTTCGCCGTACCTCAGGAAGCAAAACCAATAACAGTGGAAGCTGGGCCGTAGCTGTTTTCCAATACGGACCGAACTTAGCAGCTACATTTTCTGTGCCACATCCTAGTCTTACGTAGGAGACGATACTGCACTCGTGCGTAGCAAATCGCTTGGTCTCCCCCTGAAAGACACTCAGAAACAAAAGTTTCGAAAGCAATGTCGAATTCATTGAAAGGAGAGCAGATAGACGACCTGAGTCAGTGGAACACCATAAGCAATCTGCTCTGTGTTCCGACTAAGCCCACGAATATGATGAGATCACCCCTCACCCGACTTCCAAGCATTTCGGAGAAGCCGAGCTTTTTTGTCTTGTGCAAAGCTCTGTCGATGAGGTAGAAGCGGTCTTGCTTTTTACAGTTACTCTCCAAAATGAATCTTGTTCGGCTCGTGTCTTTCCATACGTTCTGTGAAGCGAGTAAAGCGAAGCCTAGTAGAATATCGCGTAGGCACGGTAGATGGCTCTGGTTTTGGTCATGATGTCTCCCAGCCTCATGATCATGATGAAGGGGGAACAGAAGCTCATGACCAAGAGCATTGATTGTATATCCGTTAGACTCTGCTCTTGGACGACGTTATAGCTGCTTTCCTCTCAATCTGCCACAATCAACAAGTTGCAAATGGTTCGGCCCAAGGATAATAGTGTTTCAGACTAGCTCGGTGACACTTAGGTTACTGGAGCCCTGGCAGTTACACCGATGGGATGACAATGTCGCCACATCGGCAAGAAATTGAAGGAGGGATCTTTGTTGTACCATGTCTAAAGAAGCAAGGATCTTCGCATACGACCCCGCAGGCACTCCTCATGTCTCTACCTCAGCCCTGTTTAATATTTACCACTAATGTTTACCTTCATGCTGTTGAAGCTGGAACCATCGTCATACCCTGCAACTCATCCGCGCTATGTGCAAACAACCTTCAATTGTCCACACACAACAACATACGCTAGTATTCTTGCCTCGACACGACGAATGTTCAGTAATCACCCATCAATACGGTGCCCTACACAGACACTGTAGTTACAGGCAGCGTCAAAAGCACAAAACACCATTGCGTTAAACTGAACAGGGGCTAAAACCCCTCCTTGCTTAACACCACAGATAACTTCAAACTCATCCGAGTTTTGTCGACGGAGCTGCACCCTCGTCCGCATACTACTGTACAGGCATACAATTAGAAGTACAAACTTACCCAACATCAGCCATAGTGTCTCGCTGTTCACTGTGTCAAATACCCTGATGAATTCAACAAACAGCGAGTACAATGGCTGGTGTTGCCTTCGGCATTTCTCCTGTAGCTGACGAGCCGCAAACACCATACCGATGGTGTTGCGACCCGAACGGAATTCGCATTGCTCTTCCGCCATATTCGGCCCATTGAGGCGGTTGGATAGGATTCGAACAGTCACCGTCCCCACACAGCTCAACAATTGATACCACCATAATTCGTGGCACATTGCTTGCTTCCTTTGCTCTTATACAGTGGTACAACAAAGCATCCCTACGGTCAGCCTTCAATTTCCCTCCAATCTACTCGCATTGCTCCAACTAGTGCAGCGCAGTTACCAACGCAAGTCCGCTGTCTTTCAACACTTTTGGCGGTATTCCGTCGACTCCGTTTTAATTTGAAACAATTATATTCCTTTAGTAATTTGAATATAGCCGTAAGAAGACGAACACTGGCGGATATCAACATTTCGTATTGTCTCTTCAGTGCCAACACAATAACAAAAATATATACGACGATAGGTAAGATGAGACCGGAATAGGTAGGCATTTGCTGGCCATCTGTCATCAGTGTTGGATCTGGCCAAAATGTTTACTATCGTGTTAAGACATGCTAACGCCCGTTTCCTACGTTTCGCAGAGGCAGTCGCGATGAGCAGCATCAAACCCGCACTCTGTGCGCAGGAACAGTTGTTCGTAAGCCTACGGCTGCCTTGGAGGTAGGGGTGTTACCCCTGCCGCCTACCCTGTTCCAACCTGTTCCCGTCTCACCTTACCTATCGTCGTATATATTTTCATGTTATTGTGTTGGCACTGAGGCGACAATACGAAATGTTGACATCTGCCAGTGTTCGTCTTCTTACGGCTTTATTCCGTTTTAATTGTCGTTTCGCAGCTGAACAAGTGCTCTCTGCGTCTCAAGCAGTGTCGGTGTGTCGGCAAGATGCCACTTCATTTCGTGTTGTTGCAGCCCGTATGACGAAGGTTTGTTCAAGAGACACGAACCGCGCTCGCCAAATCTGCAGTCTGTGTGCAGACAGCGCTTGAAGTAGCATCTACCAGTCCTCAGCGGCTACGACTTGGATCCGTACGCTACCTTCAAGGAGTTAAATAATTTGTTGTATTGGCGGTGTTCGGCGTAGCATTCTATCTACTTCGCCTTCTCCGTCCACCATGTATCTTTGATGCAACGGAGCTCTCCAGTGACTCGCCGTCGAAGGTTACGAAACTGACTCTCCTCCGAGTCAGTTGGATCCGCCACATGTGTAACGAATGCTGCATTCTTCTCTGACACCATTGCGCCAGTAGTCGTACTGTTGCCATCCAACCGATCCGGCCGCTTACAGTTTACACGCCGAGTCGTTCCCTCGATTACAGCCGTCACCTGTTGACGTATCTTGTACCGCTAGTCACTTGCACTTGAAGTTCGGTCGACAGCGCTGTTTTGGGTAGCCATCGCGTCTTTTAATGCCATCCCCTGCACTCGCACGCAAGATGGACACACTGAGTTTTGTCTTGTATGTCCCAAGCTAAGATCATTGACGGTCTCGTATTTGTTGAATTTACTTCGCTCGGTTTCTCCTCTCGCTTTTGTTTTTACGCATCCGAAGACGCTGTTGCGGCTGGCACTTGTGAAGCTCGGGCAGATATCGTTGTTATCTCCTAGGCTGAGGCATCCTCGGTTTTATTTGCATTCCCTTGAGTAGCCTTTTGTGTGCATCCCCTTTCACCACATCGCCTGTGTTTGATTCACGAACTAGTACTACACGATGTTTGTTTGTGGTTTTCGCTTATGCCCCCACCGACTACAGTTCTGATGCACAATCTACCACGGACTAAACTCGGTGCTTCGCATCGTTGCTAGTTCTCGTATCACTGTTTTTGAAGGGGATGTGAATGCTCATGTTGGTCACCCGGGCTCTTCAGAGGCTCAACTAATTGGTAAGCATGGGCTTAACTCCAAACGGACGGACAACACCGAGCGTCTGTTGCAACTGTGCGCGGAGCATTGGCTGTTTCTTATTAGCATTGCTTTTAGACACTGCACGTCGAAGTTCCACTTGGCGTCCTCCTATCGCTGGCCAGCAATGAGATAAATTTGATCACGTTGCCATACGTTGCAGCTGGCATGGTTCCATCCTGGATTGTCGCTCTTTCTGGAGTACTTGCGTCGACTCCGATTATGCCTTTGTATGCTGTCATTTTTCATGAACTTTATCAGGAGGCATACAGGGCTATGTCGGATTGTGACGCGAGGCAGTGAAAGACGCAAGGAAGGTCTTGCTGGTTCCGCCTTATCTACTCGATGACGATCTTTTTGTGACGTTATGTTGTTGACACAAAGTATCTGCGCCATGACCCCGAATGCTTATTCAGGTTATTCTCTCCCACTTTTTATTCATTGTTTCGTTGGTCCTTGTTTTTACGACATGGAAACTTCAGCTTTAATGACCGATTTACCTCTGTTGTTGTTGTCGTTGTTGTTGTTGTTGTTGTTGTTGTCTCTGTTATCTTGAAATTCGAACATCCTCTTTTGCTGGTTCGGTAACAGGGAATTGTCATCACGGTAACGTAGTAGGTTAGGTCATGAAGTTATATGCATTTCTCACTTGATCTTGGAATACGCTGCACGATGGTGGGAACTACTAGATAGGGCGGCGACGTTGCGCATTTGACACTTTCCGTTGTGTCTCCTTAGTACGCCTGATATGCGTGCCAGCATCAACACAGACCACATTTATAAATTCGATTGCTTTTTGATTCACGGGTCTTCTAAGTTTGTGCCTGCCGTTTAATTTATCGGTGAAGTTCAAACTAATGCCATGTTTCCACAATGGGCACCTAATCTTTGCATCGGGCATCATTCTCTCATACCTTCCAGGATTCGCAAAGTTCCTATCACACACTGTTTATGAGGGCCGCATCTCATTCCTGCCTAGCGCCAACCGTAGCAGCCACATCAGTGATGGTGTGACTTGTACACGTGGGTAAGCTCGTAACTTCGATTGCATCTGGTGAACTCTGTTCATGGTACATTTGCTTCTTTGTAGTACAATTACGTGACTTCTTTCGCATTGAAACCAAGTTACTTACATCTCTTTGCACGCTTACATGATTCTGTGGATGTGGTTCAAGGTCCGCACTGCACCTTAAATAGAACCCGCTTATAAAAGTCCTTCAAGTCTGGCTGCTTGCTGATAGCTTCAGCGAAAGTCCGGATCAACCCAGCTCGAAGCTCATTGATCTGGAGCCAACCAATGAGAACGGCCTTTACTTTAGAGTCGGCCATTGGCTTGGCTTGGACCGAGCCGACGAGAGCGTTTGTCTACATTTGGTATTTTTGGCTGCTCAGAATCTTCCTTTAGGTCATTTCTGTTAGACTATCTGGTCAAAGCTGCCGTGGCTGACCATGATATCGTATTTCCTCCGGCTCAATTGTAGGTTCTGTCCAGTTCTTTATCTTCCGATTTTGGAATTGGCTGAATCACGGTTCGAATAACTGTATCGTTTATCCGTGCCGTCAGCGGAGTCACGGCACTTCTCTACTCACGTTTTAAAATTTCACCGAACGCGGTGAAACATACACAGTCGGAATCGACTTGTCGGTGGCTGCACCTGGATCGGTGAGGTGATGTCCCTTCGGAATTTAATTACCCTTGGTTTAATGTGCGATTGCATATCGGCTTTTTCTTGGATCGCCCCTTATCCCCATTGTTTGAGTGCGTACTAAAAATTGACTTGGGAATTAACCCTTGATTCATCGATACATGTTTCTCGAAGATACTGACGAACTTCACCCGTACCTTCCGTGTTTAACTTATTGAGAGCATTCGAAGGTGACTCGGTATCATTTTCGATCCAGCTTACTGATATTAAAATACACACCTAGGTTCAACTGTACTTTCAGTGAAATCGTTTCATCGTTCGGATACCAGCTATCCTTGGAGCTGTATAGCGACTCTGCCTAATGTACAGGATTTCCATATGATTAGCTACGTATAATCAAACTTACGGATTACTTGATTGATCTGACCATTGCTCGGTTACCTTATCAATACCATATTTTTATAGACAAAGACGACAACTGATCCGCTGTTTTTGTGGCTGTGTTTACAGAACCATGTTCGTTCACTCGTTGCGTCAGTCAGACTACTAGAAGAAAACTTTCTGTTTTGTATTGATTACGATGTCCGTTACATGAGGAAAGCAGTTATTAATTACTTAGCACACCGGAACAACGAATACTCACACTATCCCGGATGTCACGGAGGCGAGATGGCTGACTACGATGGTGCCCTCTAACAGGCCGCAGGACGTGACACGATTTAGAGACGTCTGTCTGAATGATACGGGTTGCTACCTGACCGACGGTAATCCGGCCGACTCATGTCGGAAGCAGGTGAAATCAAATCATCATCATCGCATAGTTGCTATGCGGCGGACGTGGTCGTACCTATGGCCAGACAGTCAAGGCCGCTACCCAAGCTCGAATCTGCCCAGACAACAGATGTGATTCACCTCAATGACAACGACGAGGTAAGCGCATGTGACCCATAAAATTAACCATGTTTTGTGTCTAATATACTTCGGTCTAGCAGGCTCGGCGTTCTGATTTGCCCCGGCTGGATTAGCGTGGCAGAGACCAGAGGCGAAGGGCAGTGCAGAGAGCAGAGGGGAAGCAACGTTTACAGTAGTGGCGATACGAGTGTTAGTCGAACCCAGAAACTGCAGTCAACTTCGAACCATTGCAGGCACTTTGGCAGTAACAGGCCAAGCTCATTGAGATGTTGACGCAGAAGCTGTCGATACAGTCCAACCCAGGGTTAGGGGCAAGTGAAACTGTCCCCTGACGCAGCATATCATTGAATTCCATTATGATGCGGATGCTGGCGTGATATTCGCTTTTTGGTTTCATAAGTATGAAGACATGTTTCGTGTTGATTTCACAAATGTATTGGAGGCGAAGAAAATTCGCCTATTGCTCCGGAAGCTGGGTGCGGCTGAACATGAAAAGTTTACAAAGTTCATCTTGACAAAGAAGAGCACTGACCTATCCTTTGACGAAGTTGTCTCAGTCTTGTCACAAAGTTGCGATGAGCAGACATCCTTTTTCAACATCCGGTACAAGTATCTCACCATGACCCAGAAAGAAGAAAATTGGGTATATAAAATTCTAGCCGTGTAAATCTTCTGCTCGAAGCTTCTCAGTTTCACAAGGTGACCGGTGGCCAGTAGAAATGCCTCATTTACGTTTGCGGCCTACAAGCAGCCAAAGATGCAGACATACGAACAAGAATAGTGAACATGGTGGAGTAGAACCCTGGTTTAACGCCTCATCAAATAACCAGTGAATGCCAAAGAATAAACAATCTGAAGCATGATACGTCAATGATTCAGCAGCTGTTTAACCGCAACCATCACGACCTGGTCTGTGCAGTTAACCGCAGCCCTCAAGATGAATCATGTGAGTCCTTCAGATTCCAAACCTCACTTTGCTTGTTGGTATTGTACAGAATGGCACTATGGCCGAAACTGCCCGTTCAGAAATCACATTGGCAACCGCTTTGGGAAACGGGAGTACCAGAAGTTATGTTACCTTGCAAGTCGTTACATTTTGACCAGGAAGTTACGGAGCAATGCTATATCGTACAGACGCTCCAATGTTACCAGATCTGTCACTGCCACTTCCAAGGTTAATGAGCCCATCAGATGTAAGTGTACGACCGTGGAGATCAATGGCATCCAAGTCAAGTTGTGGTTGAATACCACTTCAGATGGAACCCTGGTTTCCCGTGATACGTGTTGCACTCTCGGGCGTCGGTCACTGATACAAACGCGTCAAACAATATAGAATGCGTCAGGAGGTATGGTAAAATTGCTTGGTCAGTTGAGCTGTCAAGTCAGATTTCGTGATCAATATATCCTCACATGTTTCGTGACACACAAGCCGGGGTTACATCTACTGGGTCTCGATTGGATGCATGAGTTGGAAATGCTAAATCAGCCAGTGAACAGCATATGTCAGCAACCGCAAGTCAATCAAATGTTACTATCATCATTTCCAAGCTGATTGTTTAAGGCAGTCCAAAAATAAGACGATGGCATACGAAGAAAAATCGAGTAGACCGGGTCAATCATTTCAAGATCGGTATCATGAAGTACGTGAGAGGTTTTCGTCAACCGAGGCGGTGGTCGACAGAATCGGTGATGGGCAGAAATGGTAGAGTCAACTACGAACTAACGGTTGGAAACAAGAAATGGATCAGTTACGCGGCTCAGCGGAGGCCGAACCACATTAAGCTTCAAGGGCCATAGACAACATACAACGAAGAGCAAACTGGTGAAGAAAGCCACCAAGGCAACTGCTTGATGTCAAGACAACAAAATCTGGATGGAAGCAAGCATTCATGGTGGGTAAACAGCTTCAACTCAGAGGAGGAGGACATGATCGTACCTATAGCCAGGCAGTCACGACGGCTACCAAGGTCGAACCTGCCCAGACACGAGATATGATTCACCTCAGTCACAACGACGAGGTGAGCGCATGTGACCTATAAAATTAACAATGTTCTGTGTCTACTTTACTTTGGTCTGGCAGGCTGGGCGTTCTGATTTACCCCGGCTGGATTGGCCTGGCAGAGACCAGAGGCGAAGGGTAGTGCAGCGAGCAGAGGGAAAAGCAGTGTTTTCAATAGGACGGTACTTCTGATGTTACCATAGCCTCCGAAATTCGATGCGTTTGCGAGAAGTACCTCTCCCGATGCTCAAGTTGATGGAAATCTCAAGTCTTGTCGACTCATCAAACTTAGGATCTACCCTCCTCTGAAGAGCATACTAGGAGGCGCTCCAATAATGCTAATCTTACACGACAGTTTTTTGTCTCCTGATCATACACGTCCCTCAAGCCGTAGGAGTGGCAGATGATTCGAGTCGAAATCAGTTGTCACGCTTAGTACTGTTAACATTAAATCTGAAGAAATTCCTTCCTTACATCCAGAGCCTTCATTTTGTCTCGGCTATTGCCTCGCTTTCTTGAAGTGAATACGTTCCTCCTTAAATGGGAACTATCGAAGAATGTTCATGTTCTACGGCCCACATAAATTGTAGATAAGTATTCCTGGGTGACACGCACTGTGGTCAACAAATCAGCCAATTTGTACTGTACTGTATACGAAACGGGCCTCCATGCGTATTATTGGTACTCGGAGTTGAATTTTAGTCGCGTCGGAGACAAATTGCTATTTACCGGAATTCCGTTGTGGATTGTGATGTTTCTCTGGGAACCCGGCTAGCTCCTTTTTTGAACCGTGTACACCTAGCTTTCGTCGGCACTATGCAAATTGCTTCGGACATCTCTCCAGTTCTGCTAGGTCTCGATCGTCTATTCGTTACCAAGGCTCTTCCCGACCTGGTTCTGATCATCATCTTGTTTTGTTCTATCTTTTACACTCTAAATCGCTTGTCCTGCTTAGTGAACCAATGTCGCATGTAATGCGCGCAATTTACTCACGCCGCAACATTTTGTTTCCTTCTTGTCTTATTATTTACTCTCACCGGAACGAGAGTCTGAGTATCAAATTGCGTGCCTCGAAAATCCATTGAGCTATACTGATTGGTACTTTTCGCATCTTCAGAGTTATACCATTTTCGTCTTTAGTTAGAGGCCAGACACACTCGGTTACGTGGCCATGCAGGTTGGGGATTGGAGTGAGCGTGGATCATTATTCCTTAAAACGGACTCTGCCACTGCCATAGGTCTCCTGCCTTGTGATCAGGTTTTTTAACCAAAACTTTGATTGAGAACCGTAATCATTCTCCTGTCTAGGCCCGTGCAGCCTGACAATATCTTGCCCAAGCAACTTCTTGATGCTCTGCTTGTCGCAGGGGATTTTCAAGAGTACACTGCCGCATCGAGCGGGGTTGATATGAGTGAGGGTGATACTACTCAGGCTTTCTTATTCCTCTCATGCTTTTTATCTATTACAAA